TGAAAAAAAAAAAAAGAAAAAAAAGTATACCTGGCTTGGAATCTTTAATTTGCATTTGTCAGATTTGAACAAAGATGATAATTTAATGTTACAGGGGAACTTGATGTAAATTCTCCACAAATCAAGTAGTGTGATTGATTATTCTTATATATCCTACATTTGGATTTCTATCTAGATCTCCCCTCAAATGCAAAAACATTAAGTTGTTTTTCTGGAAGTGGGTTCAAAGCACCATTATTTTGAAGTGGACTTCTCCATCCTTTTCCCACTGAGCTGAAGCCAGAGAGGTAAGTATTTCAGCTTTGCTCTAGACAGACCTAGGGCAGAGCCAGCCCGGAGCCCTGCCAGGAGTGGGCAGGCCAGCCCCTGAGGGATGATTCTGATGTGGTTAGAAAAGCATGGTGGGCCACACTTAGGCTACACCAGCAGCTGAAACCCAGGTGTCCAGGACAGAGATGTCCCTATGAAGGTTGTTCATCTTCTTCCTCCTTCTCTCCCTCTGTATGGTCTTCCCTTCTCCTTCCACAGTCTCTCTCCCCCTTTTCCCATTTCCCCTTTCACAGCACCCACCCTCTCCCTCTCTAGAGCTGCCCCATTCTGTCCTTTTATACTTTCTTGATTTCTGCACTCTCTCTGGGTTCTAATACTCACATTTAAAGATTAGTATTAGTTTGATTTTCATCATATTTGATAAGTTTTAGGCCTGGAGGCCTCTCCGTGGGCGCAGCAATCCAAATCAGACCTAATCAGGAAAAGCCCAGGTTTAATGGGTAAAGCATTCCCGGGCGATTCCCCGGCCCCTCAGAGAGGAGACGGGGCCAAGAGACCAGAAGAACCATGTGTCTGTTTTCTGGGATGCTGCTCATATACTCTGTGGGAGTGGTCTTGAGCCTCTCTGGGGGAGGAGCTGTGTTTGGCGGGCTTTGAAAGGGCGGGTTTAGGGAAAGAGATGGGGAGGGGAGTTGAGGTAGATCTTCCACCAGACTCCTTCCAAACATCCCAGACTCTTGGGGTACAGGGATGCCAGGGTGCCAGGGGTCGAGGTGGAGCTCCTATCCAAACAATCAATATTTTATGACTGAAGTATGTGGTCTTCAGCAATAGGCTCTTAACAGCCATTTTCTGGAGGTTAACCATATATTCCCTCAATCATTATATATAGCCCATTGTCATTGTTCTTGGTTATCCCCCTGAACTAAAACAGAAGCCATGGCTTTCTCAGTTTGCTCTCTTATACAACTCAGGACTTTCTTATATAACTACCTACTCCCGGATGGATGGCACTGCCGAGGTGGGCTGGGCCCTTCCACATCAATCATTAATTAATAAAATGCCCGACAGACATGCCTACAGGCCAGTCTGATGGAAGCAATGTCTTAGTCTAAGTTCTCTTCCCAGGTAACTCTAGCTTGTGGCAAATTGACCAACCAACCAACAAACAAACAGACAACAACAACAATTCAAAAACTCACAGAAAGTTACAGGAATAGTGCTTTACTCAAAGGGACTGTTGAGAGTTAAATGATAGTCCTTGCGGGGGAAAAAAAAAAACAGCCTGTTGGTTGTGAGACTGTATTTCCATGTGAATCATGTTTTTAGCCACTTACATTAGCTTGGGAATAATTAGCATTATTTATTTATACTCCTTTCTTTTTGTTGTTTAACAAAACATGAGTCCTCCCAAGGAAAGGCATTAGACCGTCTCGGTGACATGAGCACAGAGGTGGAGTGTGTCTCTGATTTGTTTAGTTTGGAATTTTAAAGCTCCGTCAAGAATGAAGGTAAGCATGGTGATGGAGCTACTAAGAAAATTGGAAAGAAACACTCAGTCTTGGAATGTGGCAGCTCTGTTTGATTTTAAATGTAGGTTAAATATTAATTTTTCTTAAAAAAAAAAAGTCCTCTTCTTCCTCTAGGAGGCCTCTTTCTTCTCACTCTGTGATGTTGACAGGACTGTTGACTGGCCTTTCACACTAACTTGGTTGGAAGAAAAAAAAAAAACTTCAGATGATCCTATTTGTGTAAGAAAAAAAAAAAAGTCTTCCAAACAACTCCCTTGTCGCCAGCATCAACAGCAGCTGAACACGGGCTGAGTTGTTGCACAGTGAGAATTATTCCTTTCATTTCAAAGGCATCAGATGTTTGGGGCAAGCAGAAGCCCTGGCTGGCTAAACACGATCAAAATAAACTAGTATCACATTTGCTTACGGAACGAGTTGAGTAAATCTCCCACTGAAGACTGAGTACACTTTTTGTTCCTCCAGAAAGGTTTTATAAGGAGGGAGGTCAGCTCAAAAAAATCTAAGCTGATGTGAGAGCCCTAAGAAGCATTTGATGATCTTCTCTTTCCAGAATTCCTTTCTCCTGATGAAACCCTGCAGCAAGTGCGCCTGAGCTGTTGATGACTTATAAACAGAAGTCAAAGGGAATTTGAGCTTCTGTCAAGACCAATTCCAAATATAATAAAAAGGGAGATGATTGGATGTCTCTTCAAGGCTTTGGATGAGCTCTCTTGTGCTTTGGCTGTTCTTTGAAATCGCAAGGAACAGAGATGAAAAGTAAAGTTTCTGGCTTTCATTTGTTACCTATCTCGGCAGAAATGCCAACAGTTTGTGTTTTCAGTAGCTCTTGTCTCAAACCATAGCTTCTCTCTTTCTTCCATTCATTCATTCATTCATTCATTCATTCATTCATTCTTTCTTTCTTTCATTTTTTTCTCTCCCTCCCTCCCTCCCTCCCTCCCTTCCTTCCTTTTTTCTCTCTTTTCTTTCCTGCATTTCTTTCACCTTCAAAAAGAAGCAGTTCATAAAAGTCCTGTCACCCAGTGTTCTGGGACACAGTATACACTGTATACTTTGCTAAGTGCAATGAAGCGTCTTCTTCCTGCCATGCCTGTCCCTGTGCTGTGGGCTGTGGGTCTCCACTTCCTCATTTGCATATAGGAATTGGTCAAAGTTTGCAGTGCCAAATTACTGTCACAGGGTCCCCGAAGTTTAGCTGTGCACTTGATTCTTAAGGCTTATTAGCCATTTCTTACAGGAGATATGTCCTATACCTTACAAGACCTTCAGTGCCATCCTTTGCTTCTACCCCCTAGACACCAATCGTATGATGCTCCTTTTCACACCCCTGAGTCGATAATGAAAACTGTCTCCTTTGTCAACTGCGCTTGGGTGGGCACTTCGTTCCTGGCTGAGAACTACTGGTTCTCAGTATCTTCACTGAGTATCACAGAGTCCCCTAGATGTGAGTGCAAACATGAAGGCCAGGCTTGATTCCGCCTCAAAATGCTATGGCCATTGCAGGGTTGTTTTTTTTTTTTTTTTTTTTTTTGTTAATTTATCTTTGATAATACTATAAAGTTCAAGAGTGATTCTTTATGAGGAATTAGATAATGAAGCGTGTGATTCTGCATCCGGAGTTTCAGCATCAGCAAAGAAACTGATGGAAATTTGGGGTTCTGTCACAGATCTGATAAACCAGGAACCATGAAATGGGTTCCAAAACTTTTAATCCAACTTTAAAAGGCAAGTCAGGTTGGGCTTGTTAGGGAAACATATATATCAGCAAGATAGCCCCAGATCCTGTTACTTCAGAGTCTCATGAATATGCCCATACCACATGGAGCCCCACCTCACAGCCTTACACCTCCACTTGAGACATCTTTAAAGACAGCATTCTCAACCTTGGTTTCAGAATAGAAACTCAGAGAGACTTCGGCAAATTCCATATGCTATGGGATGTCTTCCTGTATGCTGTGAATATGTGTTGCTCTGATTGGTTAATAAATAAAGCTGTATTGGCCTATGGCATGGCATCTTAGAGGCAGGCAGGAAATACAAGCAGATAGACAGGAAGAGAAAGGTAGAGTCTGGAAGGAGACATCAGCCAGCTTCCCAAGGTGCAAGCAAGATGCCAGCAGACCAGTAAAGCCACAGAACACACAGCAAAATATAGATTATAGAAATAGATTAAGTTATAAGAGCTAGCTAACGAGAAGCCTGCCATAGCCCATGCAATTGGTAATTAATAGAAGCCTCTAAATGATTATTTTGTAAGTGGCGGAGGTACAATGGAGCTGGGCGGAACTGGAGAAATCTTCCTACTACACCCATTGATCAGGTTGTACACCATACCAATTAAATCAGAATCCCAGACCTTGGACCAGGTAGAAATGCATAAGTTCTTCAGGTCATTCCAATGTTCCGGAAAATCTGAGGCGCTACCTAAGTGGATGATCTGTCCTTATGTTGTGGTTGTACACAAGTATGATACACAGAAGGCTTCAAAGGCATGTCCCAGCAGGTTGTTTGTGGGCTACTGACTGCAGGCTTTTGATTCTGTCCAGTGTCTTTTCTCCCACATTCTCTTCACCCTGTGCTGTCAGAAGGTTCAGCTCCTGTGGTACTAGAGCGCAGTGAACTCAGCTTAGTATGGTCCACATTCTTATCTTGTATGAGAGTCCTGTATTTTGTGTTCATCACCTGCACAGCACTGTAAAGTCCCAGAAATAAGGGCTCTGGTGTAGCCATCTCTTCTTCCCCCCACAGTGCTCCAGGCGTAAGCACTAAAGATATTAATTTAGTGACACATATTCAATGACACAGAAACATCTCTTGTGTAGAGTTGAGCTATGCAAAAGCATCTTGGCATTTGGTCTGTATCCCAAACACTATTTCTGATTATGTGCCTCAAACCCTTCTCCAAGTGGATTGATACACTTTAGACTCTGGCGTCTTTATCTGAACAGTTCGGTCACTAGGGGAAAAAGGTCTATGCTAATTCTGGAGCACTGACCATTCATGGCAAGCTCCACACTGGAGTTTGGCCATCAGCAGAAAGAAGCAACTCAGATCTGCAGACAGAACACTGTATACATAATAAATAAATCTTAAAAAAAAAAATAAAAAATAGTTTAAAAAAAAAAAAAAAAAAGGAAGGCTGAGTGAGAGACACTGCCAGCCGCCATGATGACGAGTCGCATGTGAAGATGCCGGTAAGCCATGAGCCATGTGGCAAGGTATAGATTGATGGAAATGGATTAATTTAAGCTGTAAGAACAGTTAGCAAGAAGCCTGCCACGGCCATACAGTTTGTAACCAATATAAGTCTCTGTGTTTACTTGATCGGGTTTGAGTGGCTTGGGACTGGCGGGTGAGAGAGATTTGTCCTGACTGTGGGCCAGGCAGGAAAACTCCAGCAACACAGATCTATTAAGAGGATTTGGTGGAAAAATAATACGTATATGAATTAGTTTTCCTTGGAGTTATATAGCCAGGGCTGTTCATGGCCAAAGTGGCAAAACCCAACAAAAAGAACAAGGGAAATGACACGACACTCTGGCCACCTCCTTGCATAGTGGCCATTCCATGCAAAAGCTTTCTTTGGGAACTTCAGATCAGCTGGACAGTATATGTGATTCTTTCCCATTGGTCATCCTCCCAGGAGCCCAGAGACTAGGATGAAATTCCCACAGACAATTCTTGACACACAGAATTCCTCCCAGGGAGTTGCAGGCTGGACTCCAAAGTCTAGCACACTTTTTTTCCCCTCTCTCTCTCAGAGCGTGGAGCCAAGGGGCAAAAAGAGGGGAACACCTTGGCTATGAAGGTATTTATGACCCAGCAGAAGGGGAGGAGCAGGAAAGCCTCCAGCTAGCTCCTAGGACTCTGGCAGCTGTTTCTGTCAGCGTTCCCATTTCTAGACTGATGTTCATTGCTTGAGTCCCAGGGTACCGAGTTTGTGAAACCGCCTCTTGGTTTAACTCTCACAATAGGGATTTATGTCCAAACATCACCGGACATGTTGGGCATTTGACTGCTTTGGAAGAGGTAACTGAGGCTCAGCTGCACAGTCACACATCTGGAAAACTGCCAGAGGCAGAACTTAAGTAAGGCTTCACCTTCCTCCAGCGGTCTGAACAGGAAACTCGGGTTATTTATCATCCTCTCCATAGCACACTCTCCACATACAATGCAGGAACACATCCACCTACAGCCAAACTGAGAAGGCCAGAGAGAGGGAGACCCTGCCTTAGAGGAGGGCGGGAAGCTTCCATTCCTGCGGCCCACAGTGAGGCCCATCTTTTGCTTGCTCTTAGTTGCATAAACTTGGGCAAACCACTTTTCTCCTCAAACCTATTCAACTGTCCCGAGGCCCTCCCTCTGCCTGGTGCGTTCCACACAGGCTGAAATGGACCTTCATGTTGCATCTGAGGGTGAAGGACTGCAAAGAGCAGAACTTCAGAAAACGACTGTAAGCCTCACTCCCCCACGTGCAGAAGAGAAAGCAATTCCACCCTCCTCTGCCACCCACAAGGGACCCCACACGCAAAACTTGTCCCCAGGGTCTGCCCCTCGCGGCGCTAGCTCGCCGGCTGCTGGAGCGCGGCTCGCGGAGGCTCGGCGGCAGGAGGAGCGTGTGAGTTGGAGGCGTCCCTTTAAGAGCGGCCAGCCGGGCGAGCCTCCGCCTCCAGGACCGCAGCGCGCCGCCGGTCACCTGGGGCTGTCGGGCAGCAGGATCGCGGCGGTACCGGCGGGCTAGCCCGTGGAACCGGAGCGGGGCTCGGACACGAGGTGCGGCGGGGCAGGCACGGAGCAAGGCGGTTCCCCCCGCGGGTCCGGCAGAGGATGCGGGAGAGCACGTGGGTGTCGCTGCTGCTGCTGCTGCTGCTGCTGCCCGCGCCTCTGTGGGGCGGCCCCCAGGACGGCCGCCGGGAGCCGGAGCCCGAGTCCGAGCGCGGCCCGCTGCAGCCCTACGATCTGCTCTACGCCAGCGGCGTGGCTGCCTACTACAGCGGCGACTACGAGCGTGCGGTGCGTGACCTGGAAGCCTCGCTGCGCAGCCACCGGCGCCTGCGAGACATCCGCACGCGCTGCGCCCGCCACTGCGCGGCGCGCCGCCCGCTCGCACCCCCCGGCGCCGGCCCGGGAGCCGAGCTGCCCTTCTTCCGAGCGCTGCTCGAGCGGGCGCGCTGCTCCCGCAGCTGCCAGAGCCAGCGCCTGGGCGGCCCCGCGTCCCGCCACCGCGTCAGCGAGGACGTGCGCAGCGACTTCCAGCGCAGAGTGCCCTACAACTACCTGCAGCGGGCCTACATCAAGGTACTGATGTTGCACCTAAAGCCCGCGCGCCCCCTTCCTAGGGTTGGGCTCCGGGGCATGGCTCTGCCCTCCAGCCAGCCTTTCACAGTGGCCCTCCTGTGCGTCAAAGTAGACCCCTCAGGGACTAGACGGACTTGGGCAGGTCCCCATTTGCTCTCTGTCTCAGCATCAGCTTCACTCGGCAAGAGTGGGCTGGGCCGTAAGATTGTATCAAAAGTGTCCTGCAACGCTGTGGTCTACCTAGGTGCTAGAGTACATTCCTTGACGTAGTCTGATCTTGATTTCCCTTTCTTCTCCCTGCCGTCTCTTTTGCTCTGCAGTCTGAACCTGTTAAGTTTAACAAAGTTTTCTCAAGCTGAAAGGAATCATGGTCTTAAAACAGAAGTTATTCCTCTTCAACTATAGAAGAGCAAAGGAAAAACGGTGGAGGAAGTATGCTTGAGGCTGTGTGAGGCAATCTCATTGAAAATATGGGTTTTTTTTTGTGTGTGTGTGGGGGGGGTACTGCTTCAGGTTACTGGGGGTTCCTACCGTCCTGGGCTGCTCCACCTCAGGTGCCCAGTGCCCTCTGGTTTTATATGCATCTGTTTAACCTCCTCGAAGTTACTGTCAGGAGGGATGCAATCTAACTGGCCTATTTCCCACCCCCACAATTTAAAAGACCTAACTGGACGCATAGCAGACAAGATTTAGAATGATTTCCTCGGCCCCCACTTCCACTAACTCATGTTTCTCCAGTTCTTCCTACCTTGTGACTTTCTGGGTGGATATACTCAGGTCTTTCCCACTGCAGTGGGAGGAGTTTAAAAAGTCACAACAAGAGAACTAATCTCAGAGCTCCAGTGTGAGCAGTGGTGAAGTTCAGGAGTTGACTGGGCTGGGTCAAGAAATGAGGAGGCGGCCAGGATTCTCTCCAGGATTTGTGAATCGTCTGTTCTCCTGTGCTTTCCAATGGATTTGCTAAGGCATGCATTAAGTGTAACGTTGCTTTTTAAAAAGAGAGTGGCACAAGTTTTCCTGTTCTTCCAGATATCAGCCAGTTCTGGGAGAGGGCCCCCCCGAGAGTCAATTGCAAAAATATTCTAAGCTGGTTCCCAGAGCAGAGTGTGGGCGGTCCTGTAGTGTGGCCCCTATTTATGGTCCTCCGGGGAGGCTCAGGTGTGAGGGGAGATGGAGTCATTTTGTTGATGTAGTACACGCCAGACAGATTTTCTATTCTCAGGAAGGAAAGGAAAAGAGAGGGGATGGATACTCACATTGGGTCCTCTGAAAATAAATAACCATGCAGTCAGTATGGGATTGCTGTGGTTCTGTAGTTATATATTTTCATATATTGTTAACATTTCTTTCTCATCCCCTGGTCCCTGTTCCCTGATTGGAAGTCAAGGAAGATGAAGCCACAAGCTTACAGCCTTCAAACTTTTGTAGTGACATTGATTCACATAATTGACAGTTTCTGAAGAAGGAAATATTTGTACCGCTCTGCTTGTTAACACCTAAAGGATACATTATAATTCTTCTCTTTGCTTCTTAGGGAAACACACACACACACACACACACACACATACACACACACACACACCCCACACACACCAGCACCACCATCATATAGACTAAAACATCCAAAATATTAAAAGGCCATTCTTAGGCAGTAAGAGATTTGGACTGTGGGATGTTCATTCAGTGGCAGGGTGACCAGCCTCTGTGTACTTGGATATGGTCATGGTGTCATGTATGACTGAACTGCCTATAGTCTATAAATCCAAATCCATGTATAACTGAATTGCTTCTGATGGCCGTGACTCAGTTTGTACTTAGAAGTCTAATCCTAGGCCAGATATAACTCTGAAGAACAGAAGACATCTCTGTGTTAAGGTAGCACAACCATTATCAGCTAGAAGATAAACACTGTACTGGCTCTCAGGAGTAATATCCTCCTACATCCTGGATAACAAGCTGGTGGCAACAGATCCCTAATGCTCATGAGTTGGACAGTCAGAGATGAGAATTGTAAACTCTGACCCCTTGCACTCAGATTTCTCTTTTGAGAGATAAAGATAAGCATGTTCAGAAAGGGAAAGGGACTTGCTGCTTGTCACCCAAGTGTTGTCAGTTTAGCATAATTTGGTGCAGTGAGCCCAGGACCTAGAGTCAGTCTGGGCTCTGAGGTTAGTGGACTCCAAGCTGTACTGCACCCACAGTCCCTGGATGGCGCTGGGCTCCGTAGAATGCTGTGCTAGCAGGGATTACAGGGAAGCCAGATTTGGACAGCTCCGGGGATGGGCAGGTCCTTGTTCCCTGAAGTCACAGGTACTCCTCGTTAATACTGCTGTATCCAATCTTCTCAGAAGCCTGGCGTGTGGGGAAATGGTCTGAACAGCTAGCTAGTGATAGCTCTACAGAGGCATAGTTTGTGTGTGTGTGTGTGTGTGTGTGTGTGTGTGTGTGTGTGTGTGTGTGTGTGCAAAGGCAGGGTAAGACTCCTCCCAACTTTTAAAAATCTCTCTTTTGTGAGATATAACTTATCAACCCTAAGATACAGCCGTTAATGGGACATTCCTTGTGAGAGTGCATAGTGGTTTCTCTTTGCTACTGTATAAAGCCTAAATAGTTTAACCCGGCCTCCTCTCTCTGTCCCTTCCCCTTTATGGTCCTGTTTCCACATGTCTGACACTTTGGATCTTAGCCTTGCCATTCTTCCCGAACTTGAAGGACCTGGAATAAGAACAGATTGGAGATTCAAGTCTGTCGTCGACTACCCCAGCTTTCTATCTCCACATTTGCAAGGTGGGGAAATACTAGACTACCCGCTTGGTTTAAGTTTAGTTCCAGACAGACTGGGGCCTGACTCTTAACAAACTCTACAGGTGCAGTTATTCTGGTTACTATCGTGGAAATCATCACTATCCTAACACCGAGAGAGACTTCTGTGAGGCTCCCCGTGTCCTGCCGTAGCTCCCAGTAGCTGTCTTGAATGCTCCTGGCAAAGAACTTTCCTCTTTTGTCTCTTTAGTTTATTTTAAAGTATTCAAGTGTGTGTGTCATTACTTTTGTGAGCTCCCAGCAGTCAGGAGCCACCAGTTCCTTTTGTATCCCTCAAAGAAGGGATTCCTAGGCAAGGATGTTTACAAGCTGCGTGATTCCGTAACCTTTTGGTGCATGAAAATGTGACTGAATAGTAGACATTTACGGTCAAGAGGTCTGAGTTGGGTCATCAGCAATCCTATTCGCTCTAAATCTCTTCAACAGGATGGGTCGGCATCAACGCTCAGTATCCATTTGTTGCGTGGATACTAGCTCAGCTCTGTGATGCGGAATACTGAGAGACATTTCTGTGTGGGTGAAGGGTGGTTTACCACATTTGCTCTGTTTTCCTGGATGTCACTTAGGGCGAATTCTTGCTGTTTTGTACTTAGGAGTTCTGGGTGTTGCAGCAAACCCCCTTCCCACTCTATCTACTTAGTTGGTTTGATTTTTCCCCCCTCTTTTTCAAATCTATCTTTAGCTTTTATCATTTAAAGCTGTGCTTCAGAAAATCCTTGACCCACTGTACCTACTTTATGAACATCTGTGGCTTTTTAAACAAATGTAAGAGAGAGATTTTCCTTTCTTATTTGTGTCCTGAATCATCCAGAATGGTTTTCTGCATCTTTTTCTTCCACTGTTCCTATCTGGGTAAAAAGAACCAGCAACAATCCAGTGCTGATTTTTTTTTTTAATTTTTTTTACTTAAAACAAGTTTGCTCTAGCATGGTTTATCCTTGAATTGGTGCTTTGTGAAATCTGACCTGACCTGTGTTTTTCTCCCTAGGATTAAGTGAAAGAGAGGGTGGCGCATTAACTTAGGCAATTCTGCCCCACCTCCAATCATCTTCTTATCTCTTTATCTGGGCCATAATCTATTTGTGATTTATAGAGAAGAAAAAAAAAAGTCAGCTCAAGTTATTTCCTCACTCCAGTTCTGCTTTATAGCTACATTGTCTTTCTGGACTGAGTGCCTTCCTTCAAAGAGAATTGAAAGCCAGAAAGGATCGCTTCGTATGGCTCTTGGTTCAGAAGAAAACCTTGTCCTGATTCGACATTTTGGTCTTTTTTTTTTCAAGGGTTTATATATAGAATATGTGTATTCATCCTTCAGTTATTTCAAGAGGCGTGGTTTTATCTTCTTGAAATACTACTCTGAAATATTAGCTATTCTTCAGAAAATGAGTCTTCCCCCACCTCTAAAAAGCCGTTCTTTTTTTCCCCTTGAATCATCAAAATGTGTCACTCCCCGTATCCTACGTCGCATTCCTTAGGGAGGAAACCTGTGAAATTCATTGTGTAGCCGGTTGCTAGGTCCTGCCTAGTCAATCCCAGTTGTTTCCACATCAGACGTAGGCATCGGAAGTCTGCCCAGCTCTCCACCAGTCCATTCTTGTAGCTCCTGTGTGCCACAGGGGCTGACAATTCAGTTAGGTCAGATGGGAGCAGCAACTCAATGCTTACAAGTGTTCTTTCTTCATGGCCTGGGGCATCAGGGATTCCTTTACTGATTTTAATAAAAGCAGGTAATAAAACTACCCTTCTCATTTTTGTTTTTTTAAACAGACCCCATCTCTGGAAATCCAATAGAGTCTGTCACTAATATTAGATGCTCATTGATAGATTGATAGAGGTAGCAGGTCGATGCCCTGAGAAAAGTGTGAATTTTGTAGAAGCTTAGGTCTCAGGGCTGAGGAACTCCTGGTGAGCTTCCTCTAGTCAAATAATTGTGTTGGGGCAGGGAGGTAGAAGAGGTAACGGTATGATTCTAGAAATTCAATCCAGCAAAGCCAGGGATGCTGAATACAGGAACTGAAATGCATTGGCCTGGGGGACCCCAAAGATCACGAAGGATTCTAGCCCTGTCACTTAACAAACAATGCCACTAGCCCTAGGTTGGTAAAATAAGGAAGGGTTGCCATTGGAGCTGGGGTCTAGAATATAGGCCTCCTACCCTCTAGTCCTGTTTTATTTCA